CGATTCATTGCTTATCATCTCTTCATTCATTTATTCATCTAACTATTTATTCGTTTATTCATTCATTTATTTACTCCTTCATTCATAACTTTCCCGCTTAATTATATCAACCATAGGCTGCGCTTTTCGCTCCTCCTTTGGCTTTGACGAGAGCTTTCTGCGCAGCGGCGACGGCCTTCTGCGCAGCCATTTGCGCCTTGTCCAGATTCTGCATTCCCAGGGCCTAAAAAAAAACAAAAGAGCAGAGTTTATTGCGGCGAATGGAGTTCAGTAGTATAGAGGATGGGATCGGAATGGGTGACGTGGGATTAGCGGTTCGTGAGCTCGGTGTTTATGAATCGTGACGTCATTGAGTGGAGGGGGTATGTTGTGGGAATGTCTGAAGGCGATATTTAGCTTTAGGGAATTATTTTATTATTGTTCCATTCCCGTTTCTTCTTCTCATCACCCGTTCCTGCCCTACTTTACGCCTTCCTCCTCCACCTCCATTATTCTTCCTTTCCTCCTTCTTCCTCTCCATTCGCTCTTTTCCTCCTTCCACACCCCCTTCTTTCTCCCTCTATTCCCTGTCCTCCCTTATCCCCCCTCCTTCCTTCTTCTCTCCCTTCTCCCTACCCCTTTCCCCCCCTTTCCTTCCCTCCTTCGTCCACCACCTCCCTCCTTCCTCCCTCCCCCTCCCTTTCCCCTCGCCTCCCTTCCCTCCCTCCCTTCCCCCCCCCCCCTCCCATTCCTCCTCCTTTCCCCTCCCTTCCTCCCCATCCCTTCCTTCCTACCCTCCCCCCCTCCCCTCCCTCCCTCCTCCCCTCTCTCCCTCCCTCCCTCTCACCTGCTGCTGAAGTAAATGCTGCGCGATCTGCTGCGCCTTTCCACGCCTGCTGCGCCTGCGCTCTGTACGCCTGCTGGATCGTCTCCCTGACCGCCGTGCGCCTGCGCTGTCTGGGCCTCGGACGCCGCCAGGACCCTGTAGGGGGAGGGGGGGAGTAGGAGGAGGGGAGGGGGTAGGAGGGGGGGGAGGGGGAGGGGGAGGGGAGGAGAAGGGGGAGGGGTGGTAGGAGAGGGGGAGGAGTTGGAGAGGGGGAGTGGGTAGGAGACGGGGAGGGGTAAGTAGGGGGGAGTGGGTAGGAGGGAGGGAGTGGTAGGAGAGGGGATGGGGAATGGGTAGGAGGGGGAGTGGGTAAGAAGGCGAGTGGGTAGGAGAGGGGGAGTGGATAGGAAGGGGGGTGTAGGAAGGGGGAGTGGGTAGGAGAGGGGGAGAGGGTGAAGAGGGGAGGGGGGAGGGCTGGCCACCTCACGCAGACCAGAGAGAGCTGCTTAGTTTCGGGTGTCGAGTGACTAGCACTTAGTAGTGGTAGGAACGGGGGGCCAGCGGGGGAGTGGTAGTAGGGGAGTGACTGTTCTCGCGCGCGCCGCAGAGGCAGTGTCAGAGTGCCGGGATGGAGATCGCTGATGCAGATAGCTCCGCCGAGAGATAGAAGTAGGATGCGAGAGAGAATTGAGAATAGACGGCCTCGATCGCTCACGCAGAAGCGGCGCACTCTCGAGAAAATGTGTGCGTCATATTCCGGGCGCGCACGGAACTCTTTTTTGAATTTGATTAGGGTGCGCCACGTGTTCGGGAGCGACGGGAGAAGCTAGAGTAGACTCAGATAAGTCGGTGAGACGAGAGTAGATATACAGTGCATGCGTGAAATATTCGCCTCGAGTCACACCTACTCTACCCTCGCCGATGGCACTACACTGGTCGCTACGCACGACAGTGATACACATGTAACCTCCTTATAATATTCAATTACATTATACACATGCATAGGACAAAATCAACGGCGAGATAACACCAAAAAACAGACAAAAAAAAAAAACCGATTAAACGACAATTCAATACGCAATTCGATTCGAACCCCGCCATTCCCCCCTCCCCTCCGCCTCCCGCCTCAAAAAAAAAAATCCCCGCCCTACCCCACCTGCCCTCCCCACTCGTCCACATCTCGACGAACCTCAGATTCTTCACCGGCCCCACCGCCCGCCTCAGCGCCCCTCAAAAAAAAAAAAAAAAAAATCCCCGCCTTACCGCCCCCATCCGTCCACCGCCACGCCCACACCACGCCCCACCACGCCCACCCCACCTCCGAGAGCGCGTGCTGCTGCTGCGCCGCCCACTCGACGAGGGCGTCCACCGCCTGAAGAGCCTTGGCCGCCTGTGCTGACGCCGCCGCCTCGCTGAACGCTGACACCTGGCGGAGGAAGGAAGAAGGAGAAGGGATTTGATGATGATGATGAAATGGTGGATAATGATTGATAATGGCGATAATCGATGATAATGTTAATGATCATGAATGATCATTTAATGATCATGAATAAATGTGAATGATCATGATGAATAATGTTAATGAATCATGATGATAATGTTAATGAGGTTATGAAATAATAACACCTGTTGTTTAATGATTAATGAAATAATTGAGGATAATGAGGATGGATAAGGATAAGGATAATAGTTAAA